CTGTATATGAAATAACTCATGTTGTGTATGTCTACACATTCTTATATAATTGTTGGTGTCCTTTTTACAGTGTGAGGGCTTTCAGTGTTCTCTACAGTCGGTGCCAGACAGTTGTTTCCCTCTGTCCCTCTGCTCAGCCTGTATGCATGTAGCCCCAGAAGTGTTTGCAAACACAGAAAGAGTTTTAGCACTTGAAGCAACATTTCCCACTGCGCTAAACAGCTGTTCAGGGTCTCTGCAGCTCTTCAACAGGTCTCTGTAACAGCTTGCAGTTAACCGCCGTGCTTATCTTCAGTGAGCTAGGCTAGTAGTATATGATCATAGTATTCTTATACATCCAGCACAAATGTTTCAGAGCAAAATTCAATTGGGAAATTTGTAGGCATTATAAGTATTGAAGACTGGTTGTCTTTTGAAACAAGTTGCACATTTTCCAGCTCAAATCATTCAAGAAAAATCAATAAAAGATGACCAAAATGCTCTCTCACTCTCATATTGAGTCCAGTTTAATTTCAGAACGCCCGTATAATTTAGATATTATTTTATGACAGATAGCCGACTTTGTTCACAGATCATCAACTTTTACTAGAACAGAGTAGTGTAGGCTGCTGCTAAAAACTAAAGGGAGGTGAAATGGAACACCCTAATATCTATCAGAAGCTTAAACTAGAGACCCAGACACAAAACTGAAAGTATTTTTAATCTATACATCTAGAATTAAGAGATACAAATATTTACAACCTTAAAAAAACCCTTACACTAACTAAATAACCTTAAACTAAAGTAATACACCATAACAACTACATTTGTAGTGCCTCTAAAACCAACCAGCTGCTACAGTAACCCCCCGCCCCCCAAAAACATCTTAATCTCTAACTGCCTGCAGCGGTGCATGAAACTGAGTCTCCAGATAGGCAACAGCCACAACGCTGTGTGACCCAAGCCAAGCTCTTTGTCTTGCTTTCCATCTGCTCAATAAAGTGAGGAGGGTTACATTTTATTATATTTCTCTTAGGTGGCACTTTCATCCAAAGCGGCTTACAGGAAGTGCGGTGCAGATAAAAAGTAATAAAATAAATGTTCTCTCAACATGCTAAACCTATAGTGCATTGGCTTCAAGTATCCAAAAATGTCTAAATGCCACGTACAGAAGGGAGTTTGTTTTATATTAGTAACTCAGGCTTGCTTAAAGGGCCACTGTTTAGTATTTTGGCGGTCGATGAAGAGAAAATGGAAAACAAGCATTCGTAATTATGTTTGTATTCGTGTTTAATCATCTAAAACTACGAATTGTGTTTTCGTGTCTTCATAATGAACACTTTTCAACTATACAGGGAGTTCACTATGTTGCACCGCCATGTATCTTCAGTGGCCGAACTGATACACAAAACTCTAGCTCTAGAGCGACTCCCCAGGAGTGAGCCGGGCCATTGAAACACATTTTTGTAGCGGTAGTTTTACGCTTCAGTGTCACCAGTGTGACGTCATTTGGGCCAAAAAAATACTTTTGCATACTTGCATTGGGAAAAAGACATCTGTAAATCAATGAATAAGACATTTTGTGGTAAATCAACTACCAAGGATAGATCGATAATTCCATCTTGGTGACACTGCTGTGATGCAGCAGTTTGGAGGCGGGGCTTGGTGAAACGCAAATGTGCATTCTCTATTGGCCTAGAATCTCAGAGGGTCCGGATATTTTTATACTCACAAGTCAGGCAATTTTGGCTTCATGCGCCAATTAGCAAGTTTCATAGCAATGAACAGGGTCCCGCCTCTAGAGACACTTTGGCTTTGTTACTTTAATCACACTGTAGTTCTCCCAAACGCTTATAATGGTTCATAAAGTAGTGTTACGGTGTAGATTGCCTCTGACAAACAGGACCTATAGACCAGACTAATAACGAGCGTTGGGAGAGCGAAGAGGCTGCCAGTGTTCCGGCGCTGTTGGGGTTGTTAAGAGAGGGTTGGGGTTGCAGTTGGGGGGGTCGCAACTTGCTCAAGGACACCCCGGCCGTGCCAGTAGTAGCGCTTATCGAGCTACCAGTCAACACTCCATATTTTTGATCCGATCGGGACTTGAACTGCTGACCATTCAGTTCCCAAGGCACGTCCCTACAGACTGAGCTTCTGTAAGTATACCTTTTAAGGTGGACCAGCTTTCCTAATAATAAAGAGCGCTTCCTCGGAGTTATGCAATTTAGAAAAAATGATAACTGAAAATCTCCACTTTTATCAAAATAATGGTTGAGACTGTTTTAAAGAAAGAGGCAATACAAGCAATGATATTACTCTAATCTCTCTCCCTAATCTGTTTCTAAGTCAGTCAGTGATGTGAAAGGGAAGTCTTGCTGCCTTTATCATTAAAGTGTACTTACCAAAAGACACTCCATATCGAACTCCTAGAAAACAAATCCATAGTACAATAGCACAATGATCTCCAAATAGAACTCATCATATTCATCCCTCCTCCATTTTTCACATTTGCAAGTATTGACTGAGCCGTCGCTCTGTGTGGAAATAACCACTCATTCTGTTTTAAGAATAGACAAGAGGCTTTACCACTAAAGACCGCCTGCTAAAGGGGGAAGCAAGAGGAACATTTCCTCACTGGGATCGATAAAACATAACATTATCATAATGTTCTCAAAATGTGTCACGCTGAGCATCAGTTATTCGTTTTTTTTGTGAAAGAACAAGGTGGCAGACGTGCAAAAACTCTAATTTGTATTTTCTGAAATCACATCTTCCTACTGTTTTAATGCACCAGAGAGAACATCCCTTAAAAACAACTCTCATTACTTATTCCATGCTGTTCATAACTGTACCAGAAAGGAGTTTAACTCTTAGTGAGATTTCAATTTTAAATGGTTTTCAATTTTCTACGTGGTAAACACAACACAGCGGCTTCTACGTGGAGAAAAACATCTCCGTTCATAGTAAACACTTTCAAATGAGAATGAGCTCACCCTGGGAACAATGTATACATTCCTGTTCTCAGTGAAGACTGTTGCCTGAAGTGCTCAAATGAATATCAGATTTGCCTTTGTAGAAAAGTTTCTGAGTGTGATGATTTGATGGCAAATCTGAGAAGCACAAACAGCTTGGGGAAATGATGACAACAGCTAGAGCAGGATGGTGTAGGTGTAGCAGGGGGCTGATGCCTTCACCTGTTGCCTTATGGGACATGTGCACACTGAGACTCGAGATTAGTTTTTACTAAGTATGGAGGTCTTCTTTCTACTCCGACCTCTTTCTCTTTCTGTCCTGAACTTGTGTTCAAATCCTGAACTTGTGTTCAAATGTCTTACCTGGTCTCCAGTTCATCATTCTGTCTTCTTCTGTTGTCCTCTCACCTTGCACCCATTGCAGTGTCTAAAGTCCAACTTCCTCCAACACAGTGGTGCAGTGATTACATATTTTTGTAGGGCCACCTTGAAGTTAGCATGGCAAGGGCTCCCTCAACAAAAAGCAATGGGATTTTCCCAGTGGATTTCCATATATTGCAGAATACACGTTCATGATAATGCCACGTTTTGTTCAGCAGGATAAACTCCACATATCACCACCTTTATGATTTATAAAGCCTAAATCCTTCCCATGGCTGCTCATAAACACCACAAAGCTAAAGGTGGCTGATGTTTGGCATAATGACGTTCAGTAGTCTCATTCAGCTACTAATTAGCAACTGCCATACTTTGTCGTAGAACTAAATGTGAAAATATCTTCAGCTTGTGTTAACCTGAGACCTTATTATAGGCACCTATCTATACGGCGCTGATCTAACCAAAATCCTGTTAAACATTGACGGGTCAAATGCAAACTTTTTTTGAGGACTCATTCCTGCACTACTCTATAACGCCACAATGTTGCAATGTGGCACAATGTTGTGGCACAATGTTATGACTATTCTTATTTGTAGTTATATCTAATACACTCCCAGAGCAAACAAGAGAAAAGCAATCTGCACGGTAGAGGGGAACCACATCCACATTTTGCTCAAACACATTTTTACCATAAATGTGTTTGAGCAAAATGGGATGTCACAAAGGGAAGTGTTGGTTGGCTCTGACAGACTTAAAAACTGTCCACAAACGAGTTTCCCTTCTTTAAAGTCTCCTTGTCTGTCCCACAGCTCCTCTTCCCTCTGATCCCTCTGTCATTTATTCCCATGACCAAATGTCTGGATCTAGAGGATTGAAAACACTGATTATGGATAGTTTCCTTAAACAACCCCACTTCAAAAAAATCTGAACTATCCCTTTAATGTTTTGGTCTGAAAACCAGATTCATAGTGAGATCACTTTCTGTGATTGCTGCAGTTTTAAAAGAACAGCTGATATTTCAACCCTTATTCTTTTACATGGACATATTTTGGGTAATAGCTCAGTCTGAAGGGACTTAACTTGGGAAGGGTTGCTGGTTCAAGTCCCAGAATGGACCAAGTACACAGAGTAAACTGGTACTTTTATAGGCCTGTTCACCAAGGCACCAGACCCCCACACTGCTCCCAGGGCTGTATAATAGCTGCCCACTGCTACTAATACTAGGATGGGGTAAATGCAGAGACTTAGTTTTACTGCGAGTACGATGCTGTGTCCATGATGATTTTAACAGAATCGCATTCATTCACTTAAAGGTGGGGTAGGTAAGTTTGAGAAACCGGCTCGAGATACACTTTTTGTTATATTCCATGGAATGCTCTTAACATCCCGATAGCAATGAATATCTTAAGTGCTTTGACAAAAAATCCATAAAAAATGTCATCTGTGGAAGCCGTAGTACTGTAAAAAGCACGACCAATCATTTTAGCCGGCCCGGCTAAAATGATTGGATGGCCTACCTGCCTGTCAGCCTTCCATCTGTGCACAAACTTATTACGTATTTTCAAATTCTAGAGCATTCGAGCTGGTTTCTCCAAAATGATCTACCCCACCTTTAACCTAGGGATCATTCCTTAGTGTAACTCAGGTGGTAACTGTCATGTTTTCTGTGTTCAGGTGGCAGCCATCAACCCCAGCCACCCGCTGGCTCAGATGCCCCTGCCTCCCTCCATGAAGAACTGCATCCAGCTGGCGGCCTGCGAGGCCAGCGAGCTGCTACCCATGAACCCTGACCTCCCAGCCGACCTCTTCACCTCCTGCCTCACCACGCCCATCAAGATCGCCCTCCGATGGTAACGTTATCTCCAACTCTTTCCCTTCTCTCTGCAGCACAGTTTATCACTAAGTATTTACATTTCCAACATTCCAGATGGTACATTCACGATATGGCCTTACATTTATGCTGAAGTAAGGAAGAGCTGGGGTTTTTGTCACCGAACTGTTAACATTTAAGCAGTGTTTTCCAATAATGAGCCCAAACAGGCTTTAAACAGCGAGAGGAGGAACTGGTTATGGTCTCTCTCAGCGGGTAAGACATTTTAAAAGAAAGTTTTCAATATGGATAATTTGAATAACTTTTATCCCCACGATCCCTTCAGTCCTGCTGTGGCTAGCCTATCCTTTATTAATGTCTCTCAACCAAAAATACTTCCACAGAGGAACATTTAAAGGCTATCCCATATATAATGAACTTATTTTTAAAGTTGGAATACTCTTTATTTTACCGTTGTGGATTAATGATCTGCTTGATAATGCTATATTTCTCTGTAGCTTCATACATAAACACACATGTCCCCCTTCACACCAGTACCGCCCTGCTTCTTAAGGTCCTTACACACCGAGCCGATTTTCGGCGTCGATAGATGTCGGGTCGTCAATGAGCGTCGTGTCGCCCTACTCAGATTTCGGCCGTGCCGACACCTTCCGCCGCCGATTCGACATGTTGAATCGGTCGGCCAAAGGCCGTAGGCCAAAGAAATCACTCTGATTGGCTGTTCAGCTTAGCGAATCAGTGCATGAGAAGCGAAACGGAAGTGAGGGACCCAAACAAACTATTAAGAAGGCAAATCTGAGATTTCATTTAACTCCAGCTCTCAACACAGGTTGGGGAAAGCCCCATGAGCTTCTGGCTGTAGAGTGAAAATGGAACGCACACGCTATTTGTTGTTTGTTTATATCACGCAGTCTGTTCTTCTCTCTCGGTGTATCACACAGTCTGTCTTCCGGTTGTTGCCTCTTTTGAATGACGAATACACACTACCGCCGCCTGCTGGTAAGGAGAGTTATTGCCGCTCACGCATGCGCAGTTCGTACGTGCAACTTGGCCGTCGGCTGAAGTCTTTGCGACGTGAGGCGACGTGAGGCGACGTGAGGCGACGTGAGGCGACGTGAGGCGACGTGAGGCGACGTGAGGCGACGTGAGGCGACGTGAGGCGACGTGAGGCGACGTTCCGTCGGGACGTGTTCTTTGGTGTCAGCTTGGTGTGTCCGGGCCTTTAGGGGTACTGTTTTCTCTAAATCCCACGCCCAGAAACCTCTGTTATCCTTGTGTTTGCGCTGATGGGCACTTAACACCTCGTCTGTGTTTTTCTCTTGTGAGGATTTGCCAACATTTCTATTTGTAGAGATAGAATGCAACCCCCACAAACCGTACACAATCGAATACGTATCCAAACAAAACTAGTATATAGCTATATGTAATGTGCTATTTCCATAAGCTATCTGTTTTTAGAAAATGATTTTCACACTGCTAACCAATGCAGTTTTAGTCCATGGCAAAGCAACCGTACCGTAGCATATGGAAGATGAACAGATATTATAGTTTGAATAAATATAAATAGTTCAGACTGAATCTTGATTATCTGAGCTATCTGATTCTGTTTTGAGCCAATTATCTGTTAACCTGCAGTATATAAAAACAGAGGCATTAAACAACTTCCTCCTGAATAAATAAAACAACAAATTGTAATCAAAATGTAAAAGAAATGTAATCACAAATGATGGTGCAAAGTGCAATACTGTCACCGTAGAAACATGTCGTTAAGTTCAAAATGCACCAAAAAAACTTGTCATGCACATGGACCTATCAAAATAACACAATCCTAAAAAAATGTATATCGTTCTAATCAGTTGATTTAAAAAGAACATTCCTGATAGTATTACATTTGTGCATAATTAACTCACAGGACATTACATTTGTGTTATGTTAAAAAAATGAGAATACTTTCCCTGACATTTCTGATATTTTGCACATATTATAATTAATACTGTTTGCGTGCATACATTAGTGGGATTATTAGTGCATGTTGTGTGAACATTGGCATGCAAATATTAATATTATGCAAATGTTATAATTTGGTTACTTTAAAAGAGTACCAGCGTTAATTGGCAACTCCATTTGACTTTATTTTGACATTTAAACATTTTCGTCATACGGTATAAGCATATGCAGAATAGGCATTTAGGAAACAGTAGAGCAGGAGGGAAACACTGTATACACACTGAAAAAAGTTCAAATTTAGAAAAGTAAATGGCGTAGGCTTTAGCGACTTTACTGTTAACCTCAAAGGAAGCAGTTTGTTGAGCTAGTTCGTGGCAGGTTTCTTTGATACTGAGGACATAATAATATGTCCAAACCTTCCTCTGAGCTCCGACCCTGCTCAGTATTCAGCTCTGATAAGAAATATTCAGCTTAAATGAGAAATGTAAACCAACCTCACCCACAGCGATGCAAGGTTGATGATCCCCGCAGAGGACACTCGGTTAAACTTGGTGAAAGATATTGAGGTTAAATGTGTTCGGACTAGGCTGATACAGTTGCATGATGTAAAGCAGCCTGATGCATGATTCAGAGGAGAGTTCTGATGGAGCTTCAAGCTGAACCACGGAGCACACGGGTTGCATCAGACCGTCAGCTGTCTGTGGGGCACCGAGCATGGGGGCTTGCACACCCAGGCAAAGGTGATTGCATCATCTCCGATCCACTGTACACACACACACACACACACACACACACACACACACACACACACACACACACACACACACACACACACACACACACACACACACACACACACACACACCACACACACACACACACACACACACACACACACACACACACACACACACACACACACACACACACACACACACACACACACACACACACAGAGAGATGAATCGTCTGTCTGTTTTAGGCATGGGTACAACTTAACTTGAGTATAATACAAATATTTTCATATATATTTATATGGCTGTATCACAAAAGCCATTAGATAAGAGAGTCACGACGTCCCTTGTGGACTTTACCTGCTTCACAATACGCTCAGATCTCTCTCAATCTGCAGCAGATCTCACTTCTTGCCTCACATTCAATTGCAGTCTTTTTCACACACACACACACACACACACACACACACACACACACACACACACACACACACACACACACACACACACACACACACACACACACACACACACACAGAGAGATGAATCGTCTGTCTGTTTTAGGCATGGGTACAACTTAACTTGAGTATAATACAAATATTTTCATATATATTTAGCTTGGTGCGAGTGGCAGAACTCAGGTAAAATCATAAGGTGTATACTGCATAATAAGTGGCTGTAGTCAACGTGGATCCATCTTGTTTTATTTAAGCCAGAAGGGACCATTTCTGTACTAGAGGGTGGAGCTAGAACAGGGGTGCCCAACCAGTCGACCTGTTTTATCGTTAATGTCCTATAACATAATCTTCCTGTGCCAGAATAATGCACTTCAACGCATCAAAGCTTTGTGATTGGCCGGCGTGACCCCATGTGTCGGGGCGTGGCTGGTGGGCAGGAGTGACAGTCCGCACACACACAAGACCGCAATTATGGCAGAAGCAAAAAAGCCAGAAATATATAATTTTCACTCCGAGTGGGAGGATGATTATTTTTGTATCTATTCCAATTCAAAGTCCATCTGTCTCATCTGCAATGCGAGCGTGGCTTTATCGAAGAAGAGTAACTTAGGAGCGGCATTTCAAAACAGTGCACAACCGCTACGAGACGGGATTCCCTCCTAATTCTGCCCCAGGGCAGATTCCTGTGTAGCTTCAGATCTGAGTTGTCTTATTAGTAAGCCTATTTTATACTTTTGTAGCAACACTATTTTTATATAATGGCAAAGAAAGGGTTCAGCCTTTTCTTTTTTTCCTGTGTCATATGTGGCAGCACTGTTCAATGTTTCTTGAAAACATTACCCACTGTGTGACGTGTGAATAAACTCCAACTCTGTATCAACAACACTGTTGTGTAACTTCAATTAAATACTTATGTGTGTAGATTAGAAAGAGGTAAGATAAAGGATCTGCAGTATTTTATGAAGTATTAATCGTACAAAGGTCAATTTTATACAAGTAAAAGTGTGTATTTACCTGGTAGTAGGCTGTCAGTAAGGGCTACACCTCTCTATTTGGACTGGTAGATCTCGGCAGACTGGCAACTTTAAAAGTAGCTCTCGGTTCAAAAAAGGTTGGGCACCCCTGAGCTAGAAGGTCTTGCTACACCTCTATCCCAGTTGACAGGCTGCCTCTTTAGCCAAGTGTCAATCACAAGGTAACCACGTACTAAATGTGTGCTATTGTCGGGATGGGAATGGAACCTCATTTACCAAATGAACATGATTCTCTATTGAAGAAGATTTGAGACTAACGAGACCATGATTAGGTAAATGTTTATTGAGCGAAGAAATCTTGTTAGAAAAAGGGTATTTTTCCTCATAGACTTCGATACATTCTGGCTTCTTTTGCAAACAAGCGGTGTCGCCCCCTGCTGGACATTAGAAAAGAACGCTTGGTTTTTAATCTGAGATAGGTACTTCCCCCACCTTGTTAAGGTGTGTTCTAACAGAAAGTGGCACTTTTTTCAGGGTACATTTTTTTGGTGGACTGTATTTTTTCAAATACCCTGAACAGCTGTACCAACTGTACGTGAGCTGTAAGCTAGCTGGAAACTCACAGACTGACAATGCTTCTTAGAAGTGTGTGTATATTGTGTGTTTAGCCTACCCTCTGACTGACACAACAAAGTTGGCTAGCTAGCTTGCTAACTTGTATTTAGCTGACAGTTCTGTCCAATATTTCAAAAATGATTCTGAATCTACCTGCTAGAATAGACATATCTAGAAACTCAAACGAGGTGGTACTAAAAATAGTACCAGGTACTATCTACAACTCTTACGTAAAAGAGTGATTGTGATAGAGTTTGGAGTGGTTTACCATGCTGTGGAAATGCAGTAGGG